TCTTTTAACATGTTAATGTGACATAACTGTTTCTTTCTTTTACGATCTGGTGTTAACACAATGTAATTTAAATCATTGATTTTGGACTCAACAACATAAGGACCAAAATATCTAGCTTGTAGTGCTTGCCCTGGTATCGGCAAAAGCACAAGCACTTTGTCCCCTGAAGCAAACTGTCTGAATTTTGACTTTTTGTCATACCAAACTTTCATTTTAGATTGTGAATCTTTTAAATGTGTTTTAGCCAAATTAACGGCATTAAAAAGTTTAGTTTTAAATTTTTGGACATAGTCAAGAAGTCCTTCCGTGGGTGCCGATGACATCCACGTGTCTTTTAAAAGTTTAAGGGGACCGCGAACCGTGTGGCCAAACACCAGTTCGAAGGGGCTGAATCCAAGTGATTCTTGAACTGCTTCTCTTGCGGCGAACAGTAGCATGTTGATGCCTTCATCCCAGTCTTTCTCTTGTTCTAGGCAGTAGGTTCTCATCATGTTCTTCAACGTCTGATGGAATCGCTCAAGTGCTCCCTGTGACTCAGGATGATATGCACTCGACAAGCAGTGTTCTATGCCCAACTGGTTCATCACTTGTTTGAATATTCCAGCCTTGAAGTTGGTTCCTTGGTCAGACTGTACAGACTTCGGAAGACCAAACAATGTAAAAAACTTCGTCAAGGCTTTGACGATGTTCGGAGTCTTGATATTGCGAAGAGGAATAGCTTCTGGGAATCTTGTTGACGCACACATGATTGTCAGCAAGTATTGGTGACCTGATTTTGTCTTTGGCAGAGGTCCAACGCAGTCTATAATAACGCGACTGAAAGGTTCTTCGAATGCTGGAATGGGTTGAAGAGGAGCTGCTGGTATCTTCTGATTTGGTTTCCCTACAACCTGACAAGTATGACATGATCTGCAGTATTCAACCACATCTTTCTTGATTTTGGGCCAAAAGAAGTGCGACGTGATTTTGTGATATGTCTTCTTTACTCCCAAATGACCTGAAAGTGGTGAGTCATGGGCTAAGTTCAGGACTTCGTTCCGGAATGGGGTAGGAACTACTATTTGATGAACTATCCTCCATTCTTCGTCAGCATTTGCGTCTGGAGGTCGCCATTTTCTCAAAAGTATGTCATCTTGAAGGTAATAACATATAGGGAATTGTTCAGCTTCTTCTTGGGTCAAAGCGTTCTCTCGAAGTTTGACTATTTCTGGATCACTCTTCTGTTCTTCAATAAGTTGCATTCGAGTTGGAGTCTTGTAATTACTAGCCTCTTCATTTAGACTTGCAAAAAATGTTTTTCCCAGGTCAATTTCAGGAAGAATTTTATTGCTTTTTTGTGAAATCTCTTTTGTGGAGATCTTGGAACTCATGGCCCTTGTCACAGCACATGCTGGATACAATTCTTGATCTTCTTCCTGATTTTCATTTAAACAAGGTTCATGAGTAACGATGGGCTCGGCTATCACCTTCCCACCAGCTAAGTCATTGCCTAGCAGCAACGAGATGCCGTCCAATGGTAATGTTGGTCGGACACCCACAACCACAGGTCCTGAGACTAAGTCTGATTTTAGGTTGATGAGATGTAAAGGTACATCTATGCATCCCAGCTCTACACCTCGTAACAGGATGTTGCTCCCAGTAGCAGTAGATTCAGACAAGGGAAGTATACCCTCAAGTAGTAAGGACTGTGAAGCACCTGTATCTCGTAAGATTTTGATTGGTTGTAGACTGGAAAAATCACCTGGCAGTGATACGAATCCTTCCGATATGAAAGGCATGAAGTCTTGTATGACATCAGTAGTTTCTGATGTAGAATTTTGGACCTTGGTAGGTAAACTCTTGTTGGAGTCTTGAGAACATTCGGCTAGGGTAGAGGAAGTAAAACTCTGGGTAGAGTCGTCAAAACTTGCACACAAGTCCTCAGTAAAACGCCCTCTGGAGGTAGACCTCTTCTTGGAGCAAAAGGATCTTGGCGACAAGCTCATAAAACTCGCAGTCGAAGCAGGAACTTGGCTGGAGTCAGTAAAACTAGCCTTATTGTTCATTTTGAAACTCTTTGATGAGTCGTGACAAACCTCTTTGAAGTTTGTATGGACATCTGGAGAGCAAAAACTCTTGAAGTTTGAAAATGTGTTTCCAGATGTATGACGAGACGTACAAGCGGAGACTTTGTGTTGTGTACCAGGATGTGTGGGCTTCTCAGTTTTCTTCTTGAGTTTCCAGCAATCATCCCTCGTATGTCCTTCTTTTTTACAGTAGGCACATGTGTCTTTTGCACCAATTTCTTTCGTACCGGGCTTGAATGGTTTTTGTGGAGGTTTACTGTAAGTTGCTACAGCTGTCTTATTGTGCCTGTCATTTTTGGTGTCAGATGGATTCTTGGAAAGTTGATGTGAGATGGTGAAGTTGTCGGCTAACACTGCTGCCGTATGTGCGTCACCTTCGCCACGGTCTGCAATATGTATTCGCACTTCAGTACGAACACAGTTCTTGAACTCCTCCATCAGAATGAGGTTCTTGAATTTCTTGAAGTCTGTCTCGGTGTTGGTTGCGTGCAGCCACTTGTCCAGGAGCCGTTCCTTTTCCCGGAGGAACTCAACATGAGTCTGGCCATCACGTTTCCACAGTTCCCTAAACTTTTTACGGTATGCTTCGGGGACACATTCATAAGCCTTAAGTATTAATGATTTTACTAGGTTATAGTCCCCGCGCTGTTCCGCATTCAGGGACACAAAGACTTCAGATGCCCTTCCGGTCAAGGCTGGTTGAAGTAAGGTGGACCACATAGTTTCAGGAATTTTAAAATTTTGGGCAGTTATCTCAAACTGCGCAAAATATTGGTCAACCTCTTTTTCTGTAAATTTAGGGATTACTTTTGCAAATTTAATTGCATCGCAACCTTGACCGGCTGGAGCCGTGAGTCTATTTTCCATTGCTCCCAAATTGGCTGTTATTTCCATTTCTTTTAATTTGATTTGTAGCTCTTTCTGTACTTCCAACTCCAGCTGTTTAAGCTCACGTTCTTTTTCTTCTCTCTCTCTCTGAGCTTCAAGCTCCAGCTTTCTAAGCTCTCGTTCTTTATCTAGCTCCAACTGTTTGAGCTCTCGTTCTTTTTCTCTCTGGGCATCTAGTTCCATTTGTTTGAGCTTTAGTTGGAGCTCCATACTTGGATCAGTCGGTTGTGTGACTGAGGCCAGTTCATCTTCAGATAACATGTCTTCATCCACAAAGTGAACGATGATCATGTCTCGTATGGTCTTTTTTACGGCCGAATGAGCTACATTTATTTCTAGAGCTTTAGCAATGGAAAATAGCTCCTTCCTAGAACATTTGTCTAATGCCTCTACTGATGGGTTTTCAATATCAAAATCCATTTTGACAGAGGCAAAATACAACACTGTTTTTTATAAAAATTTAAGCTTAGTGCACACACTAATGAAAAAAAATTGTAACCAGCTCTGTTGTTGGTATCGTAAAATGGTATCGTGTAATCAAATTTAGCTGAGTATATTTTTATAAACAGTGGGTCAAAATCCACAGAAAAACACTCAATTTATTATTGGTGTAATAAAAATTATGGATTAAAATTATCCTCGGAAAAGCTCACAATTTGTTAAAATTGGGGTCTAATGAGAATAAAATATGGATTCGGTTATCGCGGACGATCCACCCAATTTGTTACGCACTGACTTGTATTGGGAGAAATTAATCTCCTATTTTAATTTTAATTGGCTCGTTGTAAACAGTGCCTAACAAAGGACGATACCATATAATCAACAATATTAAAGATACGACCCAAAACAGTTTCTAGTTACAATTAATTAAGATTTATTATGTCTTAAGATAATTACAAAATAAAATAAAATAAAATTACAATCTTCAACTTACAGTATGGCAGATGTCGTACCGGTACACAGTTAATACAATTAGAAATAATGATGCCAATAAATAATGCGAAATAAACACATATAAGTAGGAGCACACAAATACACAAAGAATAAAACACGCCTCGTAATGTTAAGAAAATCTATCGGAAATCTCCGTCCCTCCTCCGTGCCTGTCAATCCCTTATATAGGTGGGTCTACCGACGCCCAAGCCCTGCCTTCGAGACATTTCGAGAAAAGTCCCAATCATTCTACCAAATACTATTTGGAACAGATTAATTATTTTTATTCGTTGGCGGCGTCAACAAGTTACTTCAAAGGCCTAAGCCACACCCCTTTGTGAACACAGCGTCTCATGCGGGGTCAATCAGAGGGCACGCACGAGAAAATATGATGTAAACAAGCTCTCTATAACAAATAAGACCTTCCGTCTCGCCTCATATCTTAACAGAAATTATGCTCCAAAGAAGGACAGACAACTCTGAATTTCAGCCCCCTGACCCGGAAATCCTAGCCAAGTCTCGAGAAACTCGTCTGATGGAGATCAAGATGGAGGCCGTCCTGAAAGAAATTCTCATTTACACCATCTTCCTGACGATCATCTTTTTCTTGTCCTACCAGCAGAGAGACCCCCAGTCCTACATGATGTCCAACAACATCCGACAGATCATGCTGAGTGGGTTTGAAGAGGTAGGTAGCACTGCACATCACACAATCATGTTGGGAGAGTTTAAAGAGGTAAACAGCACTGCACATCACACGATCATTTTGTGAGGCTTTGAAGAGGTAAGCAGCACTGCACATCACACGATCATTTTGTGAGGCTTTGAAGAGGTAAGCAGCACTGCACATCACACGATCATTTTGTGAGGCTTTGAAGAGGTAAGCAGCACTGCACATCACACGATCATTTTGTGAGGCTTTGAAGAGGTAAGCAGCACTGCACATCACACGAGTCTCAGGCGATGAAACCGATACCGATAAGTTATTTTACTACAATTTGAGCTGACCTTAATGGTGGACGGTTCTTCTACATTTAATTTTTCCCCCCCAAGTCTTGGAAGAGTAATTAATAGCAAGAACAAACGTCATAGAAACTACGCTGTGTCTTCTCTCAGATAAAGACAGTCCTTGATTACTGGGGGTGGCTGGAAGGGACCTTCCTGCCCTCCCTGTACGCTCTGCAGTATGCCAATGGGACTGACGTCAGGTACTGGCGAGACACGGCCTGCATCTCAGATTTAGAGAACAGGCGGGTGGGCGTGGCCAGGATAAGACAACTGCGTGTTAAGAATGGTAACTCAGTTTTTTTAAGTTTTTTGTTTGTTTTAAAATAACAATTCAGTTTCTCAAATTACACAAAGTGCACAATATTTCCTTATTGTTTTACGAGAGTTAACTGTTACACATTTTATTTTAACTTACCCCCCCCCCGCCCCTCTGCACCCTCCAGACTCCTGCACAATCTTAACGACCCTCAAGCCATTCATCAACCACTGCCGTGATGAGTACAATTGGTTCGATGATGATACAAAGCCTTACCTCCCCTTTTGGGAGAAGCCACCCGACGACATGATTCCAGAGCTGAAGAAATCAAACTCACCGTTTGTAAGTTGGTGAATATTCTTTTATACCAGCTAAACTCACAAACAAACCCAGCTTTTGTAAGTTGAACTATTCTTTTCCTTGTTACGTTATGCCTCCCCCCTCCCCCCCCCCCGTCCGGGGCACAGGCCGTCCACAAGAATGTTCCACTCATCACGGCCCTCTGCTTACCTTTCGATTGCTTCCAGGCGTATCCCATTTATTGCGTGTCTGCCTCTTATAGCTCGCGTCTCTATGTATTCTTAGGACTTACTCTCTTTCCTTTTCCCTGTGGATTCCATATTAGGCATTGTCTGGTGATGCTATCTGGGGGTTTTCGGAGAGTATGCCCTATCCACCTCCATCTTTTCTTTACGATGTCTTCATCCGTGGTCACCTGGTCAGTCCTTTCTAGTAGATCTATGTTGGTGGTGGCATTTGGCCATTTGATGTTCAGGATCTTTTTTAAAGCATGTGTTTATGAAGGTCTGTAATGCTCGCCGTTGTTTGCCAAGTTTCTGCTCCATGTAGTAGGACCGTTTTGATATATGTGTTAAAGATTCTGACTCGCAGATTAAAGATTCGCAGCTCCAGCTCCCTCGATTCCCATATTTTCTTTAATAGCTAACATTCTTTAACATAACAAATAAACTCACGATTTTTATGTTGATATTTTATTTGACATACCAAATAAATGTACCATTTGTCGGTTGATAGATAGATTTGTGACGTACGAAACTAAACTAAACTTGTGTGGGCTGATATTTACCTCGTCATGCCGAATAAATTCCACTTTTATAAGAGGATGATTATTTTACAATGCCAAACAGTCTTACTGTGGAGTCCTAATTGTATACCTATAGACCTAAACCTTGCGGCCACGTATACCATTGCAACAATTATATGTACGATGGATTTTAATGAAAGGATAACTCTAAAATATTAATGACACTTTGTCCCACCAACCCTTCTGTGGGCAGCGGTTAGTTTTGGTTTGGGTTTATGGGGTTTGGTGGGAGGGGGAATTAAGTGGGACGGTGGGACTATTTGGTTCTCATGTTAAAATATTTGAAATTTTTTTTAAATTATTTTTCAAAATCTTGAAAAAGGCTGTCTACTTTAAAACAAACACATGCATGGTCCACGTCTCACAGTAAGATTAGTGTATGTCCTTTACATTAAAATTTCAATGTACAGTGATGTTTATGAATTTTTAAAACATTTTTTTTTACTATTATATTGAAATGATATTTTTAAAAGTCTATTCTACTCTTGCTACTGACGAACAGAATCCACCAATTTTTATTTATTTATTTAAAAAATATATATTTTTCTAAATTATTACTAAAGGCCTATATCGTTACTTCGACCTTGAACTTTGAATCAACGCCGTTGCACAACTAATCAGGCCCGTTCTTAGGCATACGCTGACTACGCATTCGCGTAGGGCCCCAAACGTGAGGGGGCCCCCGTGAGGCGCCCTCAATCCCCCGTTTTTTTAAAAACTGGCACTGCAGTCGTCTGTGTCACTCACGTTACCTTCCTCATCCTGAAATTGATCATTCTGAGTTGAATTCGGAGGCAGGGTCGGCCCCCCCCCCCCCTTTCGGGGCCCTCAACCTACGCTCCATGCTTAGGGCCCCCAAACTCCTAAGAACGGCTCTGAACTAATACTGCCTTTCCCTTCAGGTGTATCAAGATTCAATACAGCTGAAAACGGCTCCGTACGTCGGCCACATAGCCACATACAAGGGAGGCGGCTACGTCATCCTCACCAAACGGCAGTACAGCCGCACCACCGCCCTACTCTCCACGGCCAGGTCGCAGAACTGGCTGGACCTCAACACCAAGGCCGTACTCCTGGAGTACACAGTGTACAATCCAAACTCTAACCTCTTTACCTCGGTCACGGCTGTGGTCGAGTTCCTCACCACGGGGTCGGCGTCGACTGTCATGGATGTGAAGGTAACACTGACTGAGTGATTAGTCTCTGCGCTATGTGGTAGCTTAGGTAGCACTCACTTAATTTCAGTAGTATGTGGTAGGTTAAGTAGCATTCAATCTTGATGTTAGGTGCTAGCTTAGGTAGCACTCACTTGGTCTTGGTGTTAGTGTTAGCTTAGGTAGTACTCACTTAGTCTCGGTGGTAGATGGTAGCTTAGGTAGCACTCACTTAGTCTCGGTGGTAGATGGTAGCAGGTAGAACTCTCCTAGTTTCGGTGATAGGTGGCAGCTTAGGTAGCTTAGGTAGTTTAGGTAGCACTCTCCTAGTCTCGGTGATAGGTGGCAGCTTAGGTAGCACGCCCTTAATCTCGGTGGTAGATGGTAGCTTAGGTAGCATTCCTTTTTAAAATGCGTTCAAGCTGTGTGAAGGAAATAGAAGAGCACGGTGTGGGAAGCTTCAAATAGAAAGACAGTCAAAAGAGTGGCAGACGATTGATACAATTTTGTATTTTAGAAAATGTAGTCTAATTGTTTGCTAGAATGTAGCAAGCCATTAATAAAATTAAGTATACAATAATGTAAGATAATGTTGTTCTCAATTCATATAAGCCACATATTATATGATTGTGTAAATAGTAAAGAAGGTTATTTAAATGTGTTATTCAAGCAGTTGGTAAGGCCAGAGGTCAACAATCAGAGACCTTTGTAAAATTATCATTCTCATTCTTCATAGGTTAATACAGTTTATAATTTTTTTTTTAAAATTAAACATCAACACAGGCCTCATATCCCCTATTTGAATATTGTCTGTCCAGGTGTTCCGCCTGATGAGTTACATCGGTGGCTTCGGTCTGATCGTTCTCATCATGGAGGTGTGCTTCGGTGTCATCACGATGGTCTTCTTTGTCCAGTGCGTGAAGCGGGTCAGGATGAAGAGGACGGGCTACTTCACGGACTTCTGGAACCTTCTGGAGTTTGTGCTGCTGTGCTTGGCCGTGACGTGCATCGTGCTGTACGCCTTCAAACACATTCTCACAGATGTTGCCATGGCCGCTCTACACAACCGGAAGTCAGGTGAACCAATCAGATCGTGCTGTACGCCTTCAAAAAATGGCCACTATACACAACCGGAAGTCATGTCAGCCAATCAGCAGCCAAATCGGTGACACTCACAAAAATCCGAATGTTACATATCAAATGGCAAATCTGATTATCAAGATAATTACCATCGGCCTTGAATTGTTATGGCTCCGTATGAGACGCAGTTTTATTGACAAATATCAAACGTAACCAACATTTTTACCGAACTATCAAATTTATAAACAAACAACTTATGAAGGCAATGAAGCGTCTGAAATATTATTCTTAATTATTAAATACCGAGCACCTTGCCAAAACCAGGTCGCGTGAGCAAGGAATAATATTGGGGGCGACTGCACTGAAGCTGTCTCTCAGCAAAATGATGAATGTGTCGGCCAATCGCCATAACAAGGGAACAAAATTAAAGACCCGGACTGAAAATGACGAAACAACTCTGTTCATAACTAGTGGGAATGCGTGGGCACCGATTAGACGGGAAAAAAACTTGAGAAATGAAAGTAAGCTAAGAATCGTGGGTAAGGTAATAGAAAACTAGGAATTACAATTTCATTTGAGCGTCTGAGAATCGGGGAGGAAAAGGAAGGGGGGCTGGTGGTGGGGGTGTGGTACAGAATGAATATTTAAAATTATTCCACTTGGTGTCTGCGTACCGAAACTGAGTTATGAGTTTTCCCCCCGAATGTTCCTCAGATGGTTTCGTCAACTTCAACTCGATCGCCCTCTACGATGAGATGTACGGCTTCGTCATGGCCGGGGTCGTGTTCATGGCAACCATTCAGTTTCTGAAACTGCTTCAGTTTAACAAGAAAATGGGAATGCTTGGCTCAACGGTAAGAGAATAATTGGTTTGGGGGGGGGGGATAATTTTTATTTAGTAGTATCAAAGATTTATAAACTGAATGAGTAAATGCGGACTCATTAAATAGAATATACTCAAAGTCCTTTAAAAAATATATATATATTTTTTTTTTAAATTACGAAAAATGAACTTGTGGCCCAAAGAAATTTTTAACAGATAATTATTGTAACGTGCATTAAGCAGATCTAGAGCAAATCTGCATGTAAGAACGATTGACCTTGACCCACATTCCAATGTTTCACCCTCCAGCTGAAGCTGGCCTCCAAGGACCTGAGGACGTTCTCCATTACGTTCTTCCTGTACTTCTTCGCCTTCGCCGCCACCGGCTTCCTGCTCTTCGGCAGCACGCTGACCAGCTACCAGGATGTCATCACAACCACGGAGTCGATGTTTGCTTTTGCCTTGGGCACCTTCGACTACAAGGAGATCTCGGCAGCCCAGCCGTTCTGGGGCCCCCTGTTTGTCTTCAGGTGAGACGTCTTTGTCATGATACCAAGGTGAGACGTCTTTGTCATGATACCAAGGTGAGACGTCTTTGTCATGATACCAAGGTGAGACGTCTTTGTCATGATACCAAGGTGAGACGTCTTTGTCATGATACCAAGGTGAGACGTCTTTGCCATGATACCAAGGTTGAGACGTCTTTGTCATGATACCAAGGTGAGACGTCTTTGTCATGATACCAAGGTGTCGTCTTATTTAGGACCGTTTTATCATTAACTGTTTCAAGCAGTAGAAATATTAAGTCATGACCTGTTTAAGGTCATTTTAAAAAAGAATACAAGTGATGGGGTGATGCTTGGATTTCCAAAGGTATTTTTAAAATTAGCCGGACAAAATTGACACTACTTCCAAAATTTCATTTTTATATAATGAAATTCCCCAAGTTTTACAAACCCAATGATACCATTTTCAGTTCTCTAGACTCTATCTCATAGATTAATATAATAAATGGATTCATTAATTGCATTTTCATTTCTATTTTTAGATAATGTCACAAACATAAATGCATTTTTTGTGAGCAGAATTCCTCAGTCAAAATCACTCTGTCTACATTCTGATTCTTTTCTAATATTTTTTTTTTTTTGAAATAGTTTCTAATACTCCTGAACCCATAGCTAAACCGATGTCATTTACTCTCAAACCCTCAGTTACATCGGTGTGGTCTACATAAGTCTCATGAACTTCTTCTTGACGATCATCGGGGAATCGTTCAGCCAAGTGAAGGAGAACGTGGCTTTACAAAGCAACGACTACGAAATTGTGGACTTCATGTGGGCCAAAATCAAGGGACTTTTCAAATAAGTGGATTAAAAATGAAAAATTGCAATTCCTATGTAGTGTTAAAAATATAAATTAGTGTTGAAATGTTTAGCAGTAAAAAAAATATCTAGTTGACAATTGACCAGTGTGCCATGCAAAGTTTGTTATATATTAGTTCTGCATCAAATATGTCACAATTACACAATGAATACTGAGCAAGTTTCTCCATTTGATAAATAAAATTCTGTTTAATTGTAATTTATATCCAATCACAACATTCTCATAGACACATGAAAATAATCTTTCATTTAACACATAAATAATATACAACATTCTTCAGTAGTATATTCAATACATTACATATGACAAAACTTAAAGCAGAAATATTTGATTAGATACAGAAACTATAATTTTTTATTATTTTTTTTAAAATACTGTATTTCTTTCTGGATTAAGTGCAAAGGAGTATTTCTTGAAAAAATTTATTTCATTTATGTCAACTTTAATATTCATTATTTTTGGTGTTGTTTTTTTTTTGGTTCAAAAATTTAAAGTGAATGTTTTTGCACAGACATTACACAGTTCAGCAATGAGTAATATTTTCAGGATTTTTTTCTTGCTTTAATTTTTAAAAAAAAAACGAAAAACACAAAACTTATTTTTAAAAATATAGTCGAGTTTTTATATTGTCCTTGAAAATTTTACGTCACAATGACACCCAGCCTCAAGAAATGATTTTACTTAATGTTTTTTAAAGTTATTGTGCAATCAATTATTAGGATTCTCATTATAACAAGAAATTGTTATTTAGAACAAACAAAAATTGTCATATATGCCTGTATTATTTTACCCATATTTGAATTAATTTGTTTTCTTGTGGTTGTGAAAAGTGTTGACTGAAATAAATTCTTGCATAGATTAATATTGAGACTTTGTTTTCTATTAATAATAGAAGTTTAATAGAAATTTTAAATTTCTTCGATACATAAAAAAAATGGTTTTATTTCCCCATTTCATTTTGACTTTCCCAGCAAATTGCAAGATGATCTGATTTAAGAAGTCATGTTTTTTTCTTGCTCTTGATGTCATACTCTCTAACCTGACAATCTCCATAAAAAAATAATTTTAAAAAATGAATAAATAAATAAAATTAGTAGCAAATTAATTAAAAAGTAAAACAGTTCAAGAATGTGTACATGAAACAAAACAAAACATAATTGTATCCTATTTCTTTGGGCTCTTCCAGTAGCGTTCCATAAAAACCCAATTTTTTTGTCAGGCTGAAAAAACGCAACAGCTAAATGGACATACTTATTGAGTTAATGATCAATGTAACATAGGCAAATAGTTCTAATGACCTGCATTGTCAACAAAAACCTTATAATGATTACATCAATGTTGTGACAAGCATTAAGACTATCATCATTAGCACTTTGTATCATAACAACCATGTGACAAGCATTAAGACTATCACCAGCACCTTGTTTCACAATAACTAAGTGATTGACATAATACATTTAAATGTAAGTGAATCACGTGCCACATCAAGTTTTTTTTTTCAAGCTAACAATTTGCATTAGTATAATTGATAATAATAGCCCGAGCTAAGTCATGTATTAGTCCTAGCCGGAAAGTATAAAAGTCTTATATTAGTCTTTGCCGTAGCCGTAAGATAAAGTCTTATATTAGTCTTTGCCGTAGCCGTAAGATAAAGTCTTATATTAGTCTTTGCCGTAGCCGTAAGATAAAGTCTTATATTAGTCTTTGCCGTAGCCGTAAGATAAAGTCTTATATTAGTCTTTGCCGTAGCCGTAAGATAAAGTCTTATATTAGTCTTTGCCGTAGCCGTAAGATAAAGTCTTATATTAGTCTTTGCCGTAGCCGTAAGATAAAGTCTTATATTAGTCTTTGCCGTAGCCGTAAGATAAGGAGTCCAATTGCAAACCCTGCTAAGTCGATTAAAAAAAAAAAAATTAATTTAGTGCCATTGGCTTCTCTGTGAAGTGCTATTTCACAATATTTTACTAGTTTAAATAAAGAAAATCACAACCCGCTAAGTTCGCTTGTTTCGCCAGTTTCAAAAATATGATAAACCTGCAAAACCTGCTAAGTTGCACTGGCCCTCACTTTCAAACCCTACTAGGTGACCAGCCAATGGCAGCGGTTGTTTTAAACATAATTTGTGAATAAGAGCCAATCACAATTTAGCTTGCGGGCAAATGACATCCTCTCAAAATCACTGAAGATGGCTGAACACGACACGAGCTTCAGTACAAACACGACACGAGCTTCAGTACAATCGGCGAAAACGCTAACACGTCCCCCATTAAAACTAAAAAAAAATAAAAGAACTACAGATTCAAAGGTAAGTCCAATAAAAATAAACTCATTATCAAATTTATTGAATACAAGTAATTAAAAATGACAATTTTAAAAAGGCATTACAGTGGTCAGTCTACGCTTAGACTTGGTGTTACTAGGTGATAGTGATAGCGTCAGTAGACAGTAGTCTTTAGGCCGCACGGTTAGGACTAAGAGTACGACTAAGACAGTGCCACTCGAGAGTCCAGAGACTAGTCTGTGCTGTAGATTGCTGTCAAAAATTGCGTGATCAGATAGCAGCTTCTTTGCCCAAATGAAATAACTATTTAGTGGTTTAGTTACTAATATTTGGAATTTTTTGCGCCCCCCACCTGTTATCTTTTTTTAAAAAAATTTAAAATACTCAGTTGTCAGGTCGATTCCGGGCTACTTGTTCTAGGTCAAACTAGTTCTGCTTACTGTACTATGTATATATACTATAACTGAGTTTAATTTACATCACTAGGATATAGAAAATTAAAGTTTAAAAGTGCATTATACAAAGTTGAGTTGGTTTAGAGCAAATTTTAATGCTAATTTTATTTTATTTACCCATAGTAGGAACTGCAATAAATATTTTCCTAGGAATTCCTATTTTTGTTACTGATTAATCTGATAAATTGTTTCTTTTACTTTTCAAGTAAAGTCTTATATACTAGTCCTAGTCAAAAAGTAAAGTCTTATATTAGTCCTAGTCATAAAGTAAAGTCTTATATTAGTCCTAGTCATAAAGTAAAGTCTTATATTAGTCCTAGTCATAAAGTAAAGTCTTATATTAGTCCTAGTCATAAAGTAAAGTCTTATATTAGTCCTAGTCATAAAGTAAAGTCTTATATTAGTCCTAGTCATAAAGTAAAGTCTTATATTAGTCCTAGTCATAAAGTGAAGTGTTATATTAGTCCTAGCTGTAAAGTAAAGTCTTATTGGTGTGGCAGGTAATGAAGAGCATAGCACGGAAAAATTTAAAGCAATACCAAAAAAAAACCAACAAAAAAACAAAATTGACCAAAAAGGAAAACAAAAGAGCAGGCGCTGAATCAGTTCACACTTGCGATTCTTCTTGACCGGGCCCCAAACACAGGAGCTCATCGTGCAGGTGTGAGAACCTATGCTCGTGAACGTCCACCGAATGAACCTGCTTCTGGAATCCTTTCTTGTTCCGTACCGGCAAGTCCCACTGCCTGGGGAGCATCGTCTGGTCGTCCCTCCAATCCGTTTGGCGTTTTCTTAAGTTCTGCGCCTGCCTGACTTTTCTAACCACCCTGGGGACGACACCGCGCGGTGACGTCATCTCCGACACGGCCTGAGAAGTGTCTTGCACGCTGTAGTCCAGGACACCGCTGCCAGGTGACGGCATGCCAGGCGTGGGGTAAGACGTATCATGAAAGTTAAAGCTGGGCACAACATGAGCCGGCGTGGATGAGTCAGAAAAGGACGGACACCTGTAGTCGGGTACGAAGGGTGACACTGGTGTGGCAACATAGTCCGGTACGTTACGGAAAGGTGGTGGTGTCGAAAAACGTGTAAACACGTAGTCTGGGGCAGCACCGCTGGGTGACGCTGTACCAGAGTCGAGGGTTCTCGTATCGTGAACATTGAACCCAGGCACAGTAAAGGAATTCGATGTGTCATCAGTTGAACCGGAATCGAAGTCGGTGAAGCAAGAGTTTGGTACAGCACTTACTATTGTGTCAGAGACAGCGGAGTTCATGTCTTGAATACTGTCCAGTACAACACCGGGCTGTGCTATCTTATCAGGTAAACCAGAACCGCGTTCAAGATTAGAACATATTTCAGAAATATTTATATTGAACGTGATGTCCGTTTCAAGGTCACCAGGGTCGTATGACAGGTCACAGATGTTCTCCACAGCGCCTTCTGTAGGTACAGCCTCATCGTTGTCCGAACCATGGCTCATAGCAACCATCACAGGAACGTGCAACCCCAAACACATGTCCTTCACAGCTGGCACATCTCGTCTGCCGTGAGACCCCAGCGTAAGGACAATGTCCGACAAGATAATCTTGTCCACATCCCACAGGTTATCCAGGGTGTCCTCCATCTTATCCAAGCCGATTTCTACTTTAGCCATGTTGAACTGAAACTTGGTGAGGAATCTCTTCACCGGTTGGGCGGGAACAAGCGGGCCGGATTTTTGGTCCGAGTCCTGCTCTATCGTTTCAGGCCTCCTGCTCTCCGGTGTGCTGTGCGACACTATAGAAGAGAACAAAGCAAAATTTCGAGTTCATTGAAAGTTACATTTTGTTTAAATATGCATTTTTCTACAAACTTTGTTTTGGTTACTCTACAAAACAAAAAACAAAACAAAAAACTCCTGGTTCACAAAACGATTGACCTAGTTAAAAAGCGTGGGAAGGAGGGGTTTTTCCCCCTTATAAAAGTGTGTGTGTGTGGGGGGGGGTGCTAATGATGGATGACATTACATGTCACTTCCCCCACCCCCGCTGCTAGTTTCAAGGAGAGCCTTTTTGGTTTTTGGCTAAACACAAATATTTCAGTTAGGCTGAAAACTTTCCTGCTTCCGGTATAATGGGTTGGTCTATTAATGAGATATCCCTGCCCCGGCCTTGCACTTCATACGTGCGTGTCAGCTGGGAAAATTCTAATACAACATAAGGGGATTTAAAAAAAAAAAATTGTTACGCCATTGGTCTCACCTA